TCCTTCTCAACTTAAAAAAAAATACATGCCCTTCTACTTTTTTTTTCTTGAGACAGGGTCTCGCTGTGAAGTGTAGGCTGACCCTAAATTAGCTTGTGTAGCCCAGGCTGGCCTCAAACTCACAGTGATCCTCCAGCCTCATCCTCCTGAGTGCTAGGATTAAAGGTATGTGCTGCCGCACCCTGAAATTGGACTGTTTCTTAAAACTACCTCTGCCACCAGGTGCCTGGGTGCCTGCGGGTCTGCTCTTACCCGGAGCCTCATAGCACACCCGGCCAGCGCGTGGTCTCCTGGGCTGAATCCCTGTGATGCATCTGCGGTTTATTGACCCCGGTGTCATTTCCGCCAGGTGACGTCCGGGAGCAGTGTGAATGAACTCCAGTTGGGTTATGGCCCACTGCGCGCTCCATGGGTGACTGACAGGGGCCGAGTTTCATTTGTCTTGGGAAACACCCAGGAAGGGAATTCCCAGGCCATGGGTAGGTGACCCGGTGCTTTATTCCTAACCAGAGTAACCAGAGCCTGGCATCCTGCCAGCTGCGTGTGAGGGCCCAGGGGGCCCACGTGGTCACCAGCGCTAGCGCTGGTCGTCTTTCACAGGCGCACACCGCTGTCTGTCTGGACGGGAGGCACACGCGCCAGCCTGTGAGTCACTAGACCTGGGAGTGTGTGACAGAAGACACCAGATCAGAAGCAAAACATGAGCAGGTACATTAGAGGGAATAAGTCGCCGTGAGGGTCAGGGACATGAGTCCTGGATTCCAGTCCCAGCTGCACCGCTGCCTGGCTGTGTGACGCTGCTGTCCACATCAGCAGCCCTCCAGGATCAGCGCAGAGCAGCTGTGGTGCACCCACCCCCGCCCCATTCCTTGTTCTACCTTTGTGCAGCTGGCCATTTCCACCGCCAGGGGTCAGGCTTCGTCCCCTTTCCTCTGCTCCAGCTGGGCTGGAGTTGAGGGCCCTGCTGAGGTGATGTAGTTAGGCATCGCCTGTCCCTCCCCCAGGCTCATGTCCCCTGGGGATTTCCTGCCCCTTCCCTCAGCATGACAGTTCAGAAGGGGCAGAGCCCAGCTGGAGTCTCACAGCAGCAGGCTTGGGCGTGTATTGGCCCAGAGCTTCCCCTCCCTTCCCTGGCCAGTGCGTCAGTTCATGAACACCCCCTGGCCTCTCTCCTCCTGAACATGTTTTTGCGTTTTTTTGGTTTTGCTTTTCTTTTCTTTTCTTTTTTTTTTTTTTTTTTCTTTTTTGTGGCGGGGATCTTTTTGAGAAAGGGTCTTGCTTTGCAGTCCAGGCTGGCCTTGAGCTCACTTTGTATCCCAAGCTGGTCTTAAACTCACAGCGATCCTCCTGCCTCAGCCTCTCCACTCCGGACCTCTCCTGAACCTTTCTGCAGGTAGCCCAAGGGCAAGTGGCTCAGGCTGGTGGTACACACATCTATAATCCCCATACTTGGGAAGCTGAGGCAGGAAGATTGCAAATTCAAGACCAGCCTGGGCAAAAACTCCTTGTCTCCAAATTACAAAATGGAACATATCCTTAGTGGACAATCTAGCAATCACATTCCTTAGTAAATATCCAAAAGATTGTGCTTATTCTACTGAGCAATCTCCCCAGCCCCATCCAAAAGATTGCAAGCGAATTGCACACGAAGGCTGTACAGGGGTGTTTATCCCACCTTTATTCATCGTTTCCAAGATGCCTGCAGATGGAAGGTAAGCCCCACACTAAGCTGTAGCTGTGTGGGGCTTCCGGGTGGTCCCCTAGGTTCCCTGTGTTGCACGCGTGCTCCCCGTTGCCACAACCTTGAGGCACACGTCACGCACAGTGAGGACCGAGCAGTTCTGCTGCGGCTGGTGAGGCCCTGACAGCCGCCCTGGCGCATGGCCTGCTGAAGCCCTTTCACTTCCCAACCCCGAGTGCTCTTGTGCAGTGATGTGTCCCAGGCTGTCACCAATGCAGGTTACCTTGGACATCTGCCTCCAGGGCGACAAGAAGCAAATCTAGCCAAGTGTGTGGTGCACGCCTGGGACCCCAGCACTCAGGAGGCTGAGCAGAAGGATCACCAGCAGTTTAAGGCCGGCCTTGGCTACATAGCTAAACCCTGTCTCAAAAAAAAAAAGGAAAGAAGGAGGAAAAGAAGGGAAAAAGAGAGGATGGTTCCAACCCTGGAGGTACTGGGAGGCCATGAGCCTAAATTCAGCTGTCATGGCCCCAAATTACAAATCCCTTCTTTCCTTAAGAGAAAATGAGGGGCCAGGGAATGGCTGAGTAGAATAAGCTCTTTCCTGGCAAGTGTAAGGGCCTGAGTTCAATCCCTGGTTCCACCAAAAAAAAAGAAAAAGAGAGAGAAAATGAGTAGTTGCATCATGACATAAAGGTGGGCATGGACGCTTGGCTGCGTAAGAGCAAGATGTTCTCTCTGATGCTGCGGTCAAACGAACCAGGGCCTTGCGCATGCTCAGCACCCCGCTACCAGCGAGCTGCACCCCAGGGTACGGTGAGGTCTCCTCCATCTATCCCTCTCAGCATCAGCTGGTTCAACACTCACGCAACAGCACGTCCATCTTTTTGTCTTCTTTGTTTTTGCAGAACCGGAGATTGAACTCAGACCCTTGCACTTGCTAGGGAAGTGCTTATTCCACTGAGCCATCTCCCCAGCCCCCTGTCTTCCCTCTTTGTGGCTTGGCAAAGCTGGGATTCAGGCCTTGGAGAGTAGTGTCAGTGGTAAGGGAGGAGGATTGGGCTTCTGGGTCCCCTGGGAAGACACAGCCTCGGGGTCCAGGGTGGCAGGCACGTGGGTTCCAGTCCGTGCTGTGTCTGCCTTTGGTGGCCTCAGAGAGTAAGGCCAAGGTGATGGCCTGCACAAGAACCACTGGGCCTCCTCTCTTTGGGCCCCAAAAGTCTTGCCTGGAAAATGGCTATAAAAATGTGTCCTGCTCAGGGGACTAAAGTGCCTGCTTAGGCAGAGCGCAGTGGCCAGGGTTCAGTGCCCTGCGTGCCAGCCCCGCCCTTGGAGTGCACTGAAATGGCAGTTGAGATGGCGTGGGGTTGCGTGCCTATAATCCCAGCTCTTGGCAGGCTGAAAAACAGGAGAATCACTGGAGTCCAATCTATATAGTGAGACCCTGTAGACACTGTAGATCCTGTATCCCCTATACTAAATACAAAAAAGAAAGAGAAATGTGCCCTGCAGCCCGGGGGTGCAGCTCAGCTCTGCGGGCATCTGCCTATGGGTTCCAGCACTGCAAAGACAGCAAACAGCTCCACAGAACCCCCTTCTCTGCGCTCCTGCAGCTTCTCTCTCCTGAGCTTAGAGCTGTTGCCCGACCTCGGTCACTCACCAGCTGCTGTGCCCCCTTCTCTGCTGGGCTGGCTGTTTTCTGCACTGGGTCTTCGCAAACAAGCTGCGGCTGGGCCTCCCACCCAGCATGCCTGTGCCCTGGAGCATTCTCATGCTAGGGGCGTTTCTCTGCCTAGATCCTTGGTGTCAGGGCCAGTGCCACCTGGGGAGAGGGTGGGCGGCTAGGGCTGGGTGCACTGGGGCAGGACGTCTAAAGGCAACTGGAAGCTGGGACCCCAGCCTTTGTCCCAAGACATGAAGTGGTGACAGGTGACTACAGTTAGGTGAGAAAGGGCAGGGCTGAAGGTGGCCCTCAGCAGGAGGGGTGGGGGTGGCCCTGGGAAACTGGGGAGACCCCTCCCCACTGCACTAGGGCAGCCCTGACTCAGCGGGCCCTGGGGGGCTGGGCCCGAGGGTCGTTGGGGGCAGGAGGCTGGGGCTGGCCAGGAGTGGCCTGGGTCGGGTCCCAGCGCTGGCCAGGCGGCCCCTCATGGGCTTAGCACGCCCGACAGCACTAACACAACTGTGTCCGGCCAAGCAAATCTTTTGTCCTGGGCGGGCTGAGCCAGCAGGGCGCCGCCTGTATAAGCGGGGTCCCACGGAGGCCAGCAGAGCACCATGGCACAGCGCTCAGGGAAGGTGAGTGGATCCACGTCCCTCCCAGATGGCCCCAGCAGGCGGGTGGGGGATGGGGCTGCTGCTGCTGCTGCTGCTCCACAGGCACAGAGCGGGGCCCAGCACTGCACCCCCAGAGCGCCCCTGGGGGATGGCGAACCCGGGCGCGGAGTTGGCTTAAATTCTCAGTTACAGGGCGGCCTTGCCAGTCAGTGGTGTAGCCAGGGTCTCCTGGCCCCTTTCTGGAGGTTACCTGTGGCTGCCTCTAGACCACGGGAACTGCGGTGGCTCTGCAGCCCCTGCTGTCTCCTCACAGGAGGTGGATGAAAGCCCAGGCCTGGCTCCCTGGCTATCCCAGGGGTGCCTGCTCTCCGAGATTGTCTGCACCAGCCCCACCCCGTGCAGTAAGGGCAGCTGCTTAGGCTCTCTCTCTCCGCTTTGTCTGCTGTCCCTCTCATGCCTGACCCACCAAAGCCTTTGCTCTCCAGAGACTTTTTTTTTTTTTGGTGGAACCAGGGATTGAACTCAGGCCCTTGCGCTTGCCAGGGAAGCGCTTATTCCACTGAGCCATCTCCGGGCCCCACCAGAGACTTTTCAAGCCCCTTCGTGGTGATACTATCACTGTATCTGTCTCCAAGGGCCTGCATTATGCTTCAGTGCCAAGCAGCCTGGTAGCCAGCCTGCATAAAGCACCCAGGGTACCCGCTCCCTGGCACTGCACAGGGCCTTGGGGGAGCAGGAGAGAGAGCGGAAGGGCCCCCAAATCAGTTGTCCCCATCCAGCAAGCTTCCAGCTCACAGACAGTCCTTTGACAAAGCCTGCAGCCTTAACTACCAACTGCCAGGGGCCTGGATAAGCAACCCTGCCACTTTCCCCTGGAAGAACTGCCAATAGAGGTGAGGCCGGGTGGCAGCATATCCCTGGGTGACATCACTGTCCTCTACATGGGTCCTTCAGGGGCTGCAACTCTTGAGGCCAACAGAGTTACTGAGCGTTTGGAATTTTAGTTCCAACGACAGGAGATGGATTGCTCGCTATAGCTTCACTTGTTCAGTCTGGGGACAAGGACAGCCTGCGAGAGCCACTTAGCACTCAACTACCACTGGATTGGTGAAGTTCTAGATGTAACCTCTGTCCGTTACCTAACAAGCAGGCTGCAGAAGCTTTTTTTTTTTTAAATCTTTTTGAGATAGGGTGTCGCTATATAGTTCAGGCTGACCTTGAGTTCACTGTATAGCCCAGGCTAGGCTCGAACTCGCAATGACCCGCCTGCCCCAGCCTCCAGAGTGCTGGGGTGACAGGCATTCCCAGCCCTCTTCTGAGGTCATTAAGGAGTGCCAAGCCCTGATATGCCTGCCAAGAGTTGGCCTCTCTGCAGACGGAGGCCCCAGAACTTGACCTTCTGAGAAATAAATGTTGGGTGATGGTGCTGGGTTGGGGACAGAGTTTATTCTTTTGAAAACATCTCTTTGAATTTTATTATGGATGTAATATTTTAACCACCAACAAGAGCTGGGTGTAGTAGGCACACTTGTCATCTGAGTTCTTGGGACGCTGAGGCAGGAGGATTGACACAAGTGTGAGGCCAGCCTTGGTGACACAGTGAGTTCCAGGGCAGCCTGGTATACAGGCAAGACTGTCTCAAAACAAACAAATGAACAAAATTAAATAAAAGGCTGGGGAGATAGCTCAGTAGAATAAGTGCTTCCCTGGCAAGCACAAGGGCCTGAGTTCAATCCCCAGTTCTGCAAAAAAAAAAAAATAAATAAATAAATAAATAAAAATTGAGTTTGAGGCTGGGGAGCTAGCTCGGTGGTCTAAGCACCTGCCTAGCAAGCGCAAGGTCCCAGGTTCCATCCCTGGTACCACATGCTGCGCTGGCCCAGAACCACGTGTGGTGGTGCACGCCTGTAATCCCAGCACTGGGGAGGTTGAGACAGGAGGACCACCATGAGGCCAAACTGTATAGTAAGACCCTGTATCAACAAAAATAAAAATTGAGTTTTACAGATCCAACTGGATTTTGAAAGAGCCTGCTTTCAGCTAGGCATCTGGACAGACTGGGAAGTCTGTCCCTAGTTTGTCTGCCCTGCCATGAGTGTGGCTAGCGCTGCATCTCTGCACGATCCTCAGAGAATTCCAGGCCCTACTGAGTACACCAGGGCTGGGCTGTGGTGGCCGGGGAGTCTGGGTGCCACTGAGGATGCTGGGTCTGGGACATCAGCACCCAGGTCCTAGCAACGGAACAGCAGGAGGCCCCTGACGCAGAGCTCTGCCCTGGCCCTTCCAGATCACCTTGTATGAAGGCAAGCACTTCACAGGGCGGAAGCTGGAGGTCTTCGGGGACTGTGACAACTTCCAGGACCGAGGCTTTATGAACCGGGTCAACTCCATCCGCGTGGAGAGTGGGGCGTGGGTCTGCTTTGGTCACCCGGACTTCCGGGGCCAGCAGTTCATTCTGGAGCACGGCAACTACCCCGACTTCTTCCGCTGGAATGGCCACAATGACCACATGGGCTCCTGTCGGCCTGTGGGAATGGTGAGCAGGGTGGGGGCTTCCTGCGGAGGACAGAAAGGGGTTCAGGTCAGGTCTGGGCAGGCCAACAGGTAGAGCTTCAGTTTTAAGATCTTTAAGACCTAGAGTCAGGATTGTCATGAGTTCAAGGCCAGTCTGGGCTACACAGTGAGACCCTGTCTCAAAAGTCAAAAAGAGAAAAGTCTGGTTGGACTGTAGTGCTTTGTGAGTCTCTGGTGCCCTATCGCAGAGCACCTCTGGGGGAGGCCGGTCTGCAGAAAATCTGGGGACATCCCTTGGGACTGCAGGGGACTACATGTCACAGATGTAACCCAGTGTGTATAGGGAGAGCAGAGGGGTGCTGTCCTGGGTGAAGCACTGTAGATGTCCAACTGCCCTTAGGGTGGGCTTTAGGGACAGAGGGTTCCCCTACGTCACAAGGACCGGCTGACCCGCTGTAAGCTCTGTCCTGCTGGGAAATGGCCACTCTATGAGACCAAGTAGACAGCTGTTGTCGGTCAGTCTGCCACCTGGCCCTCCCAGGATCCTGGGGCCAGGGCTCCAGAGAACATCTAAGCGGTGGCAGGGGAGGCCCCTCTCTGCATGGGGCCCTCCTCTTTCTTCCACCAGTTGCAAAACCATTTGTACTCTGCCATCTCAAATTGTAAGAATGCTTTCTTAGTATTTCTGCCAGGCCATGGACATTTAGAAAAAGGAATGCAAATGGTTAGCCCAGATCCTGCATAATGCTGTTTCTACCAATAAGTATACCAGGCATCCCACGAATGCTGTTCTTGTAAGAGCCACCCCAGTCAGCTGGGAGATGGGGGGCTGTCCTCCCCTGCCCTTTGGAGACAGGAGATAGAATGAGCTGACCTTACTGGGCAATGACGTCAAGACCAGCGGGTACTTCAGCAGATGAGATGTTATTTGTTTTAGATTTTGGGCCTTATGTTTTAATAAAAGGTTCTGTTGCAGATTTAAAATATTATCATTTGGGCCGGGGAGATGGCTCAGTGAAATAAGCGCTTCCCTGGCAAGTGCAAGGGCCTGAGTTCAATCCCCGGTTCTGAAAAAAAAAAAAAAAAAAAAAAAAAAAAATTATCACTCAGTGAAATAAGCGCTTCCCTGGCAAGTGCAAGGGCCTGAGTTCAATCCCCGGTTCTGAAAAAAAAAAAAAAAAAAAAAAGAAAAATTATCATTTGAAGGCCTGCCTGTGGCCAGCAGCCCAGGGTGTAGAAGTCAAAGCGGGGGAATGTGTACGCAGCAGCTAGAACAGGAGTCCCGCAGCTGAGCACCCCAAGGGTGCCAGGGGCCCGAGTGGCTGCTGGCCTCCCCAGCAGCCTTACCCTCTCTGGACCTGGGATTCCTTAGTTACAAAGAGATTGGGCCCGGGGCCGACAGATAGCTCAGCAGATTAAAGCGCCTGTTTAGGCTGACGCAGGGACTGAGGTTCGAGACTGGGTGTGATTGGGTTGTGTGTGCCTGTAATCCCAGCGCTTGGGAGGCTGAAAACAGGAGGATCACTATGAGCTCGATCTATGTAGTGAGACCCTGTACTGAGAGAGAGAGAGAGAGAGAGAGAGCCAATTCGGCAGCTTTGAAGATTGCTAGTAATAAAAGCTTCACCCACCAAGTCTCACAGGCAAGATTCTAAACAGAGTTGTATGGGGCGGGGGTGGGGGTCATGCTGGCCTCTGGCCCAGCCCCCGCGCTCTTGCGCTTCTACGCCTGTGCGTCCAGGGCCCTCCCTCTTGCTGCCTGGGTACAGGAGGAGGCTCTGAGGGTTGGCCTTCTTTCCTTCCGGCCTGGACCCTGGAGCACGGAGAGCACTTTCGCATAGAAATCTTCGAGGGCTGCAACTTCACAGGCCAGAGCCTGGAGCTGGTAGAGGACTGCCCCTTCCTGCAGAGCCGTGGCTGGCCCAGGAGCTGCGTCAATGCCGCCAAGGTGTACGGGGACGGAGCGTGAGTACGGCCGGGCGTCAGGGTGGGCGCCAGACCCCAGGCTTGCGCCCTTGTCCTGCGGGCCTTGTTCCTGCCTTGACTCCCTCCTCTGCCCAAGGCGACACCCAGTCTCCCCATAACCCCATGGGGATCGGGGACTCAGTGAAAAGAAAAAAACGGGGAGGGGGGCCAAAGCCGGTGTTCAACCTCAGGGCTGTGCGACCTTTACCCCTCCAGTTCCTAACAAGGAGAGGGTGCCAGATGGGGATTTGTGCTTGTCCCTTGACACCTGTCTTTAACTCTTACAAAATATCTAAGTCCCTCTCAAGACTGAGCCGCCTGTATGGTAGCCCCTGTGTCCCCTGAATCTGGTGGTGACACTGCCAGGAGCCTTTCCTGAGACCCAAGTAACAAGAGTATTCTGAGTCCCAGGTCAGCCAGGCGTGACCTGGGCTCACATGCATGTCCTGGTGGCTACCTGGTGGCTTTTCTGCCACCCGCTTCGCATCCTCTGCCGCCTCCTCTGTAGCCTCTGCCCTTTCCTCCGGGCACATCCAGGCAATCTCCAGGGTGACCCCAAGCAAGGCTTAGGCATTTCAAGCTGCCGCCTAACGGAAGACAGCAACTCCACAGGGCCCGCCCTGCCCAAGCGGGACCTGCCTCAACCCCAGCGACCCCAGCAGCGTGCTTCTGCCTGCTCAGCCTCTCTGCCCTGCTCACCCCACCCCAGCCCTCCTGGCAGAAGGTGCCAGGCACCAAGCATGGCCCAGATGGAAGAGTGAAGGGAGTGCTGTGGGCTTGTTGTGTGGCCCCAGTGCCACAGCCCCTCCAAGACATCATCTGCCAGCGGGGTCTTAGTCTAAAAGGGCTTGCAAAGTTCTGTAGGAGCAGGGGGAGAGATCCGCGAAGACCAAGGGTCTGACCACCCTGTGGCCTGGGCCCCAAAAGGCCCTGGAGAGCAGTGCAGAGTGTGACCCCTGGTGTGAGTGCGGGGGAGGGGTGGGGTCAGCGGTTGGACTGCAGAGGCCACTCTGGCTTCCCGGTAGGCCCACAGGCCTGTGTCCTGGCTCCAGGGCCAGAGCCTATCTGTCCCGGAACCTCCCACACACTCACTTGGGGTGACTGGGTGTTTTCACTGAAGAAAGGAATAATAGGAACTGGGTCCCAATCTATGACAGGCCCCTGCCAGTCCCACGGCTGTCACCTGTCCTTCTAGTCCTTTCCAGGATAGGGGTGGTGCAAGGAACAGGGAGGGTGAGGTAGGGCATCCCGGGCTGCTCCTGGGGCTCGTCCCAGGCAGTGGACACGGGACTGCGACTGGGCACGCCCAGCCCACGCATCCGTGAGCACGCAGCTGCGGGGAGGAAGCCAGCCAGGACCCGGCTGGGGCCCTGCTGTCCCGAGCGGGTAACCTTGACCCGGCCCTGGCTCGCAGGTGGGTGCTGTACGAGGAGCCCAACTACCGTGGCCGCATGTTTCTGCTGGAGCGCGGCGACTTCCGCAGCTTCTCCGACTGGGAGGCTCACAGCGGCCGCGTGCAGTCGCTGCGCAGGGTCGTCAACTTCTTCTAGCCGGGACAGCGAGCGCGCGAGAATAAAGGTGCTGCAGCGGGGCCTCGAGTGCTTTGTGGGCGCCCAACGCTGTGCAGGGCGGGGACTAGGGAGCGCTGAGCAGGGCCCTGGGAAGCCCCGCGGCAGGAGGACCCTGCAGGGCCAGGGGCGACCCGCGCGCAGCCTGGGGCGCCTTCTCTCCCCCAGCCCAGGACCCCTGGATCAGTTCCGGGAGGGCACTGGGGAGGGCGGGGAGTAGCGGGAGCGGGGGCCACGAGGGGCGTGGCCAGGATGGGTGAAAGCCTGGAAGGAGAAATACCACCGGCAAGGCCAGGATGGGAGTTGAGAAATGGTCCAGGGGTGGAGGCGGGGCCGGGGAGGGGCGATCTGGGAGCCTCCTGGGCAGGGCGGGGCCTGGTCCCCGACCTTACTTACCCCTTACCCCCTTGAGCTCCAGTGACCCTAAAGGTCACCAAGAGCCGTCTAGGGTGACACTCTGCTTGCTCCAACCACCACTAAATGGGGACTGCGTGTAGTGGATGGGATGCTGGCTGCCCCTGAGCAATCAGGCTGTTTTGGAAGAGATGAGATCTGGAATCCTCAGGCTTAGGGTTGGGGAGATAGCTCAATGGCATAAGCACCTGCCTGGTAAGCCCAAGGTCCCTGGTTTGATCCCCAGTGCCGCTAAATAAATAAATAAATAAACAAACAAACAACTGGAATCACCGGGCTTCTGAAGAGGACAACAGCGCTGCAAGCCTGAGTGAGGCTCGTGACTACGGGGAACCTGGAGATGTCTGCTGCTGCACCAGGCCAAGGCCAGGCTGGACAAGAGATCAGGTCACCCACAGCCTCGCGCCTGAATGAGGCTCAGCCTTCCAGTCCTGCAAGCTGGGTCCTCCGCTACGCCCACCTTGCTGGGACTCAAACCCAGGCCTAGCCCTAGCTAGGGCAAGCGCTGTACCACAGAGCTACATCTCCAGCCCCAGGGTTTTTGAGTAAGTGAAGGGGGTCGGACTGGAAATGAGGTAGAATAAAAAATAAAAGGAGAAACTAGACGTGGTGGCCCACACCTATAATACCAGCTCTTGGGAGATTGTAAACAGGTGGATCAGTAGGAGTCTAATCTAGTAGTGAGACTCTGAACACCCTATAGACCCTTCCCTAAAATATAAAAAAAAAAGAGACAAGGAAATCGAGATTTTAAAATTGTATTTTTGTTTTTAGAAAACTTTCAGCCAAAGAACCCTAGTGTATATCCTCAATACCTTTAAATATCTGCAATACCCACAGGGTTACTGCAATAATACCTGCAATATTTTGAAAGAGTATGTCAATCTCCCACGTGACAGTTGTCCAACTGGTCGCCCCTGAACGCCAAGGCTAGCAACATCCAGCTAGCCTGGGCTGTAGGGACTCACTCTTCCACAGTGATGCCCATGATGACATGATGGGCACTTAGGACTTTCCTCCAGGCTCTGGTGCACAGAATGCATGTAATTATACTTATTACTGTAGGTGGTAATAGTGTCCTAGTCATCTTCGTCATTGCTGGACAAAATACCTGGAACCTACAACTTAAAGGAGAGGTTGTGTTTTGTCTTTGGTACTGGGAATTGAACTCGGGTGCTTGCCAGGCAGGTGCTGTGCCACTGAGCTGTATTGCTGGCCTGAGAGGTTTACTTTGGCTCACATTATGTTCCATGCTGCCAGCTGTAAGGTGGGACCGCCTGGCAGGGAGGCCTGGTGGAGAAGAGCGGTTGCCACACAGGGGACAGGAAGCGGGGAGAGAAGGAAAAGCCAGAAGGGAGATGAAGCCTTACAGGAAGTTCCCACCAACCCGCGCCCCCAGGCAGGGCCCACCTTCTACCGGAATCAACTGTGAGCCCCATAACCCAATCACCTTCCACAGGCTCCAGCTGCAAGCCCATGAGGCTCTAGAAATGAGCCATAATAGAGGCCACGATTATGACACACTCACTATCATTACTGTTTTTTTTGTTTTGTTTTTGTTTTTCTGTATTTAGGACAGGGTCTACAGGGTCTCCCTACATAGATTGGACTCATTGTGATTCTCCTGTTTTCAGCCTCCCAAGCACTGGGATTATAAGTGAGCGCCACCATGCCCAGTCTCAATCACCGGCTCAGTGGGGGGCAGGGAGCACAGCATGCTGGGGATTGAACCCCGGCCACGGTGCTCTGCCTAAGCAGGTGCTTTAGTCTACTGAGCTATCAGGCTGGACCTCATTATCATTACTGTACACATGCAAAGTAGACACAGGCAGGGTCCCAACCCAGGCGTGGCAGGTCCCGGTAATTCTGCATCACAGAGGGATATGTGGAGTAGACGCGGAGCAACCCAAATACTTGCAAGCCTCGGGCCCTGCTCTGTGGCTCAAGTGCAGCCACAGCCATTGTAGCAGCCGTTCGCACTGGTGAAGCACAGGAAACCCTGCAGAGTTGCCAGGAGAAGTTTCAGCATTAGTAGTGGGTGACCCGGTATCTGGGAGGAGAAGCACAGAGGGCCACAGCACTTGAAGGTTAATCAGACTCAGAACTCTCACTAGACGTGACTTGGACAAGCCATGGCGCAGTGCCTCAGTGTCCCTCAGCGTCGCAGCACTACCATCGTGGGAGCCCAGTGAGAACCAACAGTGTCCAGTCTGCTGCCTCCCAGCTCCCAGGAGTCGCAGCTGCTCCATCCATAGTGGTGATTTAATGCCCTGAGCTTTGAGGTCCTGCCTGGGTGACCTCCTCCTGGGCCTGGCCCCTGTGCTCTAATCAGTCAGAAATCTGTTTTTGATCTGAAAGAAGAAAAACAGGATTCCTAGCACAGTACTTGTGGCTTGTAAGGGGTTCAGTGGACCGAGGAGGAGGGCAGCTTGGAGCCATGCCTGCTTCACATATCTCTGTCTCTGCTCTGGTTTGGAAAGCTGAGATCTTCAAGAGATGTCCCCTCTGTCCTCAGCCCTGAGTCACCATGCCCATCCAGGATCCACACATGCTCAGTATCAGCTCGGCCTGAGCCCAGGGAGGACTTGGCCTTTGGGCCTCTGTAGACGTTTCTTAAGAACTGGCCTGTTCTTCCCTTCCATTCCTAGGCCTGCGGGTACAGCTGCCCACTGTCCCCGGCCACCTCTCCTGCTGCCTCCTCTCTCCCCCTCAGGGCTGGATGCTTCAGAGGAGGGCTGTGCCCTGTCATACCCTTGACCTCTCAAGATGCCACCAGAGCTGGGTGTGGTGGTGCATGCCTCTCATCCCAGTACTCTGGAGGCTAGAGCAAGAACATGGCTGAGTTTGAGGCCAGCCTGGGCTGCACAGTGGGTACAAGGCCAAACTGAACTGCGTAAGGAGACCCTGTTTCAAACAAAACAAACAACTTGTTGGACCACAATTTTTTTTATCTGTGTGTTTGGCACAGAGTGTCACTACACAGATCAGACTCATGGTGATCCTTCGTCTTCAGTCTCCCCAGCACTGGGATTACAGGCATGTGCCACCCTGCCCAGACTCGGGCCAGCTCAGCATACCCCCGGGGCGGGGCCAGCACGGCATGCCAGGGATAGAACCCAGGCCGCTGGGTCTGCCTAACCAGAATGACAGTTTTTTATTATTGTTGTTATTGGGGTTTTTGCAGTGGAGTCTTACAATGTAGTTCAGGCTGGCCTTGAACTCACACTGATCCTCCTACCTCAGCCTCCTGAGGACAGGGATTAC